CTCAAGGGCGCCCATCCGAAGTCGTAGTCCTCCCTGGCGTGTCTTCGTCGCACCAGCGGCCGTTCCATCCTTGACGCTGGTCGTTATGTCGTCCTTTCATCCAACACTCAAACTTGTTCCTTCAGCTGGCTGGCTACTGGCTGCTGCTCCTCCTCCACCTCGAGCCGAGCACCACGTCACAGTAACACGGCGGAAGGTCAGAGCACAAGCGTAACACCATCACGAACACCGTAACACCACAGCACAGAAACCTCCGCTCGGGACCGCGGGGTGCAGTCCTCCGTACAAGTCGAGTTAAAGTCCTTGTGAACTTTTCACTTTCCCTCGCGCGGTCTTAGCTCCTCTTTTTTCCCAGTCCGACTCCTCTTTCTCCCTGTACGTGTTCAGTACTCCTCTTGGCCTCTCACTCGACCGAGGAGGAGGTGGCTAGGCCTCTCCTGCGCGACCGCCACCGTTCCTGGATCCGCGACGGGGGGGCGAGCAATAAATAAATAAGGGGGCGACGGAATCCAAGGGTCCTGCATGTGCACTGTGCAACGACTACTACACGCAGCGAGGGAGGCAATGCATGTAATGCTCGCGTAATGTCCAAACGCCACCTGGTCTCCTCCCTCTTGCCCTCTTCCTCATCATTCACTTCCTCTTCTTCCTCTTCGTCAGCGGTTCCTCTGAGCTCGCCTTCTTCCTCTTTCTCATAGTTTCGCCTTCGTAGCTTTGACCCAACGCTCAGGACACATCATCATTTTTTAAAATCAGTTTCTAAAGAGGCGAGTCTCACGTTTACTACAACAAAATAGTCGGGATAGAACTCGCGTGCTCTAAGGACTTGAAAACCAAAGTATCCAAAAAATGGTATCAAACTAAAAAAAAACAAAAAAATCAAGTAAAAACTTCCAAATCTCAATCGCTCATCACATCCTCCTCGTACATGTACACACAAATCAATCCTTCCACAAAAGTCGGGGGAGGGAAAATTAACAGAACACTAAACCACCAACAACTCCCAAAGTCTCTCCGTACAGTTCGCCCCAACGCCGAGGGACAGCGAGGTCTCAGGAGCGACACGGGCGTACATCCACCCTCCACGGCGTCACGAACCACACTGACTGGCTGGCTGACTGGCTGGCCGATCGCGACGGACGTTTGCGAAGCTCCCTCGGTTCACCCTCATGTGCGCTGGGTACTGGGGCATGGACGGACGGGGAGGGGGAGGGGGGAGAGAGCCTTCTGGAGGGGGTTTTGGAGGGTGGGGAACTGGGGAAGCCTCCTGGAGGAGCATTTCAGGAAAAGAGGAGTTGGAGAAACCTTTAGCAGGGGGTGGGGGTTAGGAAAGATATAGGGAGAAGTGCTTTTGTTTTTGTTTTTTCTTAAGATGGGGGAGGGTTTTTTTCAAGAAGGGGGATGGATGGGAAGGGGAAAGGATGGAAGGCAGGGTGAAGGGTGAAGGGTGAAGGGGCTGTAGATGAGAGTGATAAAATACACACAGAGGTTTGCGACCCCCGAGACTGCGCTATCGCTGACCATGGCCACTACCGACGAATACATACATTTGCCAATAAGGGCTAAATTCCCATCTTTCGTGGGTATATACGGCAACCCTCGGTGTCATGTATAACATAACCATATCTTAATTATTGACCTGAAGTCCGGTAGCAAGCGGAGAACCGATAGGCCTACACGATAAGTGAAAATATTCCCACATTTTATATTCAGCACGAAATTATAATGAAGCAGCCTCCTTTTTTTTTCTTCTTCACAACCCGTGGTCGTCCATACTGTCAATTATCATTATCACTCTTTTAATCGCTTTATCTCCATATTCTCGCCCCGAAAAAGAAAGCACATTAAATAGACGCGGACTTCCATATCGATCGATCTAAGCTACATTGAACAGGCCAGCATCCGTCAGTCCATTTCTCTTACCCTACTTAGGTATCGACCAGAAAAGACTCTGCCTATTTCGCTCCTCTCTTTTTTTCTCTCTTCGATCTTATAGGAACTTACGGTAAAAGAAGTAATATTGTTTATTTTTATCCTTGGCAGTAATATCAAGTAAATATATTACCTACTATCTTTACAACCTGCCTCCTCCCCCTCCTCCTCCTCCCACCCCACCCACTCCTCCCAATCTCTCCGTAAACAAAAGGGGGGAGAGGGAGAAGGGGGCAAAGAGGAGAGAGAGAGAGAGAAGGGGGAGGGGACAGAGAGAGGGAGAGGGGGGGAGGGGGACAACGAAGGCACACAGACCCTCCGGTACAACAGTCAAGCACACACCATTCATTGTCACTCAGGCACCCTACCCTCGCCACCGCGATCCCCTGCCAGACGTACGAGCCAACGCCCTTCTACTCACTCCCCCCCCCCCGCCTCCTCCCCCAAGATCATTACACGGTGGGGGATAACAGCCTCGTCTGCCGACTACTTGGCTTGCACACTTGCCACGATCTGACTTTCAACGTTGTGCAATCTGTCTCTTGTCTTTGACGCTCACCGCATCTGT